CCCGCCATCCCTTTTTTTCTGCTGAATGTACCCAGCACCGTCGTGTTTCAGTGGATGTGTTTTTAGTACAAAAAAAAAGACAAAAAAAAATTACCCCCCCTTTCCCCCCCCTCTTTTTTTCTGTTTAAAAAAAAAAATAAGATTAAAAAAAAAAATCATCTTTTTTTTCTAATATTTAAAGAGTGTTTTTGTAGGTTTAAAAAAAAGACAAAAAAAAAAGAAAAAAAAAAAGAAAAATAATAATAATAATCCTGACTTGGAATTTGTACGGCTGAGCGGGACACGGGGGGTCGTGTCCACGGTTTCCCGGTTTGCTTGGGGTTTCAGTTCTTTTTTTTTGTTGTTGTTTATTTTGGAGCCTTTTGGGTTTTTTTCTTTTTTCTTTTTTTTTGGTTGTTTTTTTTTTGTTGGTTTTTTTTTTTGTATAATAAAGTGAAAAATAATGTTTCTGTTCTCATGTCATTACTATAAAAAATAAAACTTTAGGAAAAAAAAAAAAAGTCAAGTGTGAAGAGTGTTTTTCCCTCCCTCCTGTGGGATCCACTTGGGGGGGATCCTGAGGGAGTTGAGGGGACAATCCGTAGGGGATCATTTTGGGGGGATCCACAGGGATTTGGAGTGGTTGCTAGTGGGGAGTGGGTTGGGATTGTGGAGGGATCTGTGGATCTGGAATGGCACAGGGGTCTGCTGGGGGGATCTGTACGGAAGAGGATCAGGGAGTCATTTGGGAGGGGAGATCTGGGGGGGGTCTCTAAGGGTAGGAGGGATCTATAGGGTTGGGGGGATCCTTGGGGTGTGGGTGTTCCATAGGGATGGGGTAATCCCTAGGGGTGATGTATCCTTGGGAGGAGGGCTCCGTGGGACTGGTGGGATCCCTGGAGAAGGCGAGGATCCATAGGGATGGGGGGACCACGGAGAGAGGGGATCCATGGGAATGGGGGCAACACCGGGACTGGGGGTCCCCGGGATGAGAGGCCCGGTGGAGTCGGGGGCTGGGGGGATTGGGGTGTCCGGTGAGGTCCGGGGGAATTGCGGGGGAATCGGGGGGCTCCGGTGGGATCGGGGATCCGTGGGTTGGAGGGACAGTGGAGATTGGGGGGGCCGAGTGGATCGGGGGTGCCGGGACTCCTCGAGGATCTGTGGGTTTGGGGGTCCTTGGGGGTCGGGGGACCCGGGGGAGATCGGGAAATTCGGGGGGGTTCGGGGGCCTGGGGGGTTCCGAGGAGATCGAGGGTCCGCTAGATCCCGGATCCGCGGGATCGGGGGTCCGGTGGAATCGGAGACCCGCGGGTTCGGGAACATCGGGAGGGCCGGGGGTCTCTGCAGAGGGACCGGGGAGATCGAGGGTCCGTGGATTCGGGGGCCGGAGGGTTTGGGGGTCCGAGATTTCGGGGGTCCTTGGGTCCGGGGGTCTCCGCAGAGGGGTCGGGTCGGGGGCAGCTCCGAGGCCCCTGCAGGCGGCCCCCGGCCCCGCCC